TCTCTCTCTCTCTCTCTCTCTCTCTCTCTCTCTCTCTCTCTCTCTCTCTCTCTCTCTCTCTCTCTCTCTCTCTCTCTCTCTCTCTCGTGCGCGCATAGGGAACGCTCTCCACCAAAGGCCAGAGCTGTGGGCGCTATCGACAAACGGCCCAAAAAAAACCTATTTTCAGAAGAAGAAAAAACCTAGGAATAATCTTTTCTTTTTTCCTTTTTTCTTACCAGATACTACACTTGAGGCGCTATCGCCCCATGTTTTCTTTTCTTTTTTCCTTTTTTCTTACCAGATACTACACTTGAGGCGCTATCGCCCCATGTTTTTTTTTCCCCTCCCCTGTGTACCCTGCGAAAAATAGTTTTCGGGCAAGTACAAAAGCGTACAACGCAGTTTTTGTACTCATGTACAACCTCGTTGAATGCGAGTACAATTTTTTATTTTTGTTTTGTACAGGAGAGTCAGGAGACACACCTAGACGCCAGCCTGCAGACTGGCATAAGGTCTCAACAATTGAAGTGGACCACCTCATGCGAGTGCGTGAGTACTTCGCTCGCCTGTGCGGCAGCCTCCACCCAATGCATGCACACAGTACAGCGTGAATGCCCATACAAACATACCAGGTTCGCTCCTTCGTTCAGCTTTGTGATGGCACCCCACGAAGGATGTCTGTTTGGTGTCCCTGCGGCCACATGCAAGCACCGCTAGCCTGACTGGTTGGCCGGAGATCTGGCAGGCTGGCCTGAACCAAGGTTGGGCCACGTAACAATCCAAATTGAACAATGTTTCTGGATTCGCTCCTCCTTAAAGCCTTGCATCCTTTTGTTATTGCCATTGTAGCACTCGTGCAGCCGAGCCCATAAGGGGCATGTGGGCTTGACAAGATCACACTGCAGTCACGTCTTAAAACACCCCCGAAAGGCCAGCTTAAAAGGGCTGTGAGAATGGCATTGGGCCAAGAGGCAGATGCCCCCGGGCCTTGGAATAGAGCGGGGTGATTTTGGATGCTCGATAACAAGCACATGTGGCCAGAACATGCTGTGCGCAAGCCAGAAGGACGGTCTAGATGACCTCAAGAGAGAGGGGCAGCCGGAGTACTGCCTGAAGCTGGCTGGCCGTGGGTTAGGGCAGATTCACCCGGTACTTTCTGATGTATGCAGCAATAGTCTAAGACAGTTCGAAGATTCGCACGTTTGGTACAGGAGCTGGATGAAGCCACGTCACAGGCTGACGTGGAGTGCACATCTGATACGTGGTAAGGTGAAAGGTCATCCTGTTGCTTTGTCGCGTATTCTGCACACGATTTCCATAGCCACTGTCCTTCTTTGTGGCAGTAGATGGCTTTCGTGGTCATGGTGGCAGCTCCTTGATTCTGCCATAGCCAGTGGATCTCAGTGGAGACATCCCTAAGACAATACCAAAGTGTGTGGATATAGTGTTGTCAAAATTCAGAACAAGCTACCAGTCCATGAACCTCTGCGACCTTGGACACTCCTTCGAGCGTGCCCTGGCGATGGATGTTTTGCCATGACTGCTATCACGGGGTTGAGCCTGGACGAGTATGGGAGAGGAGCCAGGCTGGGGTGAAGTCTCACCTACCGTTGTCGAGTTTAGAAAACTCAACTGCGTGACACCATTTCGACATTAAAATATTCGGAACAAGAAATAAAAAAACTGAAAATAAAAAGGCTAGAAACAACTTTTCTGAGTTTTCTCCCTATTTTTTTATAACGCAACTTGAAGAAATGAAACACGTCTGGCACAGTCGGAGTGAATGTCTCTGTGGTAAAGGGATACTTCCCGAGTCCCCGTGGTGAGGGACAGGAGGTCACCATTTGTCAAATGGACAGGGACAACGTGGATGGCCAAATGCGTTCATTGCCCAAAGAAGGAAACAAGTTTGATGCCAGAGAGCCAAACACAACTGTCAGAGTTCCTCCGTTTCAGGATGTAATGGTGTCTAAAAAAACAAAAAAAAAGAAAAGCACTGCAGTTGAGAAATCTACCCTACCCCCCGTAGGGTAGTTTTCTCAACGCAAAACGGTTTCCCGCCCAAACCAAAAGGGCCAAAGCATACTACAAAACGGATTTCACGTCAAAGAAAAAATCTACAAAATGACCAAAATTAATAGGTTATTCTCCTGTATTTCGGAGACCATTAGACTCGGAATACATCAACAGCAGAGCTTTGTCCCACCATGCCACGTGATGGAAAGCTAGTGTTGAGAAAACTCAACACTGTCGGTGGGACTTCACCCCTGAATACAAATTCCCCACAATAGGAAAAAAAAAAAAAAAGGTTTGCGAGCAACTAGGCACAAAACAAAGTACAAGAGGAATGGGGGGTCGTCCAATTTGAGGAGATGGTTGACATCAGTCGATAATGCTGTAAACTATCATACTACCCAAAACAATTCAAAAATAAGTTGCATATTCTAAGAAAAAAAACAAAAAAACAGCAGTGCAAAAAAGGTTCGCACTAGCGTTGTTCAGAACATAATATTGTCGATCTCGGATGGAAACAATGAGAATTATTACTCGTAGGCACCAGCCCACAAAAGACTGGATTCAATGGTGTTCTACAGCGTGGCAATGAGGCAGTTCGCAGACCAACATATTAGACAAGTAAAACGGTCCCAAGAAAATCGGGACCAACAGGCTACCGCTTCTCCTGCAATCCGAATGCTGACTACCGTGAGGGAGGGAGTAGGGCCGCAGGAGGATATTGGGGTCTTGATAGAAGAACTGCAGCAGGCCGTGCTACAGCGACCGAGCACTCAAGCTCCAACACAGATAGAGTGCGAGACCTCCTCAGATCTTTTGACTTGGGCAGACGAAGTCAAGAACCCGGGTAGGGGTCATACGCTCACCATCCATCGTGGACAGGGCAGCCCACGGTCCGGAGATCTGGTTATCCCTTTGGACAA